TTCTAATCTAGCAAGCACTATTCCTACTTGACCGGCGAACATATCATATCTGTAGTATATCTTGTTGTGCACTATTAGTTGAGAGCGGCGTTTCGGTGCCCGGGTGTATCTGCACCCGGTCAAAAAAAAAATCGTAAAAAATTCATAAAAATTCAAAAAATTCCAAAAAAAATTTAGGTGGTAGAAAATTTGATGCGTGAGGTACGCTCCAATTTTTAAAACATTTGGACTTCTGTGCAGCTCTCAGCAAAAAAGACAAATCAGACCAGAACAGTATATGAACAGTACACATTTTTACAGACCTCCGATTTATCTTTTTTGCTGAGAGCTACACAGAAGTCCAAATGTTTTGAAAATTGGAGCGTACCTCACACATCAAATTGTCCACCACCCCAATTTTTTTTGGAATTTTTGGAATTTGTTTAGTATTTATTTTGATTTTTTTCGTGAGCGCAGGTGCAGATGAGCTCGGGTTCAAATTCGAATTTTCCCTATTAGTTATGCTATATTACTTCCATGTTTTTGTTTTCATATTTTACCAATGGATGTTTATGTTAGGAACTGAGATTTGCTAGCTTTCATATTTTGCTTTAGTTTTTGAATACTGAAAGTGCATGCCCAATTTTTAATAAAGACTGGAATTGGTATTTCCTCCCCCCGTCTACAAGAAAAGATGCTCTGTTTCCCATGCAATCAAATTTATCTCAAGGGTGATTGATGTTGATTTTCTTAACACAACATTTTATTGTGATGACATAACTTTAGTTAGTAGGTTTTGCAAAGGTTACCAGGTAGTATCAGTTGTTTACCATTTAGATCTCCAACTGTATGAATCTCTACATAAGCTGTGGGCGTCGGCAGCGGGCAGACTGCCCCTTATGCTGAATTTAATTGCAGTTGAAAGTTATGCAATCATGAATGCCATTATTATTTGATGAATTTAACTACAGTTGCAGCTCTTTTATTAGCTCAACAATTAGTTTTAAAGGTCCTTCAAGTTACTGTAGCTGAAACTTACTCTGAAGATTAACCAACTATGTTCCCCTTGATCCTGTAAAAGATATTTTATTCATTTGAAATTACGCGCAGTGTTTATGCAAGCCAATACTATGTGGTATTAAAAAGCAAATGAAGAAACTTATTACTTCCATTGTGTAAATCATATTTCTGCAATTAGCATATTAGGTTAAGAAAATGTAACCTACTTATTCCACCATTCTCTTTATTTGGATACATATGGCTCTGTTTTCATAAATCCCTAGTTGATCCTATGATATGGATGTCCCCTTCAAGGCCACTGATTGCATGAGCGAGAGGTTGTCAATTGGACAGATTTGTTCTTCATTTCATTACTCAGTGTTGACGTATTTCTCTATTTTTATCTCTTTTTTCCATTAGACTTTTTGAAGGATGATAATAATCTTTAAACATTGTAGAAAGGTCATGTCTCTCTTTGTATTCATATACCAATTTGAAGCTTATAGCTTGATTTAGATATGAATGACTTCGGATATATAGTGTTTATAGAGTGGTTTAATGAATTGATCAATATCGTCGATCCATAATGTTACCCATAGAATTTCAGAGCATAACCACATATTGTTGTACCAGAATTTAGTGCAATGTTATTTCAATGGAACAACTGTAATATTTTACGTGTGTTTTAGAACACAATTTGTGGAGTATCACTACATCAATGGGAAAGTATTTATATGATAGAAATAAATAAAACCAAATTGCTAAGAATACATCATGCAAAATCATTTTGGGCCTACTCTACTCAAGAGTGGTAACTACAAGTATTTTTAAAGGCATGGGCAATTGAAATTTGCACACTATTTCCTCATTTGAAAATGCTTATAAGGTGCTGGAACAAACAACCACACTATCATATAGCATATTGCATAAAGGTGTGGCACCGTGTTAAAATAGAAGAAGTGGACCTATGAAAGTCTTGGACCATGCTTACTGGGTCAGCGTTGTGTGTATTTTTCTCTGTTGCAACGCACAGGCATTTTTACTAGTAATAGTAAAGCTCAAATGGAAGCGTTTTCTTCACTTCACTATAACCAAACCCAGATTAGTTTGCTATTTGCCCATCTTTAATCCCCTCTGCATGTGCATATTATTTTCTTCTCTCTCGGTATTCTATCCGTCCAACCGGTCCAGGTTAGCATCCGGTTTGCCAAAAGAACCGGCCAGTTTGACCCATTTTCTCCGGTTCGATCATGGAACGATCTACTAAGCTTAAGAATCCGCCGAGGCCGCCGGTCTGACGGTCTGGTTTTTTTAACCATTTTTTATATATTTTTTAAAAGAGGAATACATGTTAATACCAAGCAGATACCAATTACACCCAACCTCTGCATCAACAAGATGTCTAGAAACATCTAGGGTGCACATAGCCAAAAAAAGAAAAGAAAAGAAAAGACCCTGCAACGGTGATCAATACGCCACATAGCAGTGCTCTAACCACCACCAAAGACAACACCCGGACTAAAAAGAAGGTTCTTCAAAAGCAACGCCTCCAAGACGGAAACAATGCACAAGCGTTGTCGTTGCTCGATCAAAGATCGTAGGTTTTCACCCTGGAGAAAGATCGCGCGTTCCCAAAACAGTGCATTCAACAAGGCCAGTGCCAGGCACAACCAATAAAGGCCAGACCTTGGGGTTTTACCCTGGAAATCACGACTAGGTACTCAAAGGAGCACCACCAACCAGGGAGACACACCTTACAAGGTCCTCATGAGTCTTATGAGTCGACCACCCGAATACTCGAAAACTAAGATCATTGAACAAAATTTGACCAGGTAGACACATCTTACAAGGCAGGATGCTAAACCACTGCTTTTTCATTGGATAACAGTGAAATAGGACCAAGAGAACTAGAAGATGAAATCTAAGAATCACAATCGCAACCACTACAACCCTGAGAGTGAGGCATCGGACAATCAACCAGTAGACTAGAGTCGATCCGTGGGACCAAAACACCATTTATTGTATAGTTGGGTGTCTGCTATCCCATTCGGCTTTGCCTCCAACAATGAGAGCATCAACAGAGAAATAAACTCAAAACCTGCTCTTCAAGCACTAACCCCAGGTTCCCATCCCCTCCCCTCTCCTTGCCAGCGAATCTGCAGCAAAAATAAAAATGGATGTTTACTTGTTCTTCGGTCCCGGGACACATATCTTATTTTCAGTTGATGCTTCTTAGTCCTTGAGCCCAGACTAAAGCCACCAATCTCTATGTTGCCATCATGAACACCAACACTTGATTCAACTGTCAATCTCAGGAAGAAATTAAGAGGAAAACTTGCGATTACAAACGAATTGTTTGACACGACTAACCAAATATGTCATATGTGACAAAAAGCATATGTTTAAAAACTTCATCCATGGGTGAATCAAATGATATGATTTGATGACATATACTCCCTCCGTTTCTAAATATATGACGCTTTGGTAGTTTAATTTGAACTGCAATAATGTCATATAGGAATAGAGGAAGTACCACGTATATTTTCCCGAAAAGGATAGCACATACTTCTTGAACGGAGGGCATACCACGTATATTTTCCCAAACAGTATAATTTGGTTGACAAAATAAAAAGACGAGAATGCGCTAAGCATCGAATCGAGGGGGTACCATAAGATCAACTCGGCCAATTAATTCTAGGTAACAGTCAATTCAACAGACGTGGGCATAGCCCAGTGGTTGGGGGCGCATGATTGTAAACCCAACGACCAGAGTTCGATCCACGTCGGGGACGAATTTCTGGAATTCTCATGAGGGATGCTTCTTCTATATCAATAAACCGTGGGTGCTAGTGCCCATGGAGTTTCATTTTTTTATAGCCATTGATAGCTGACAATTGGTCCAAATAACCTTTAAACCAAGTTAACTCCATCATTTAAATCTAGCTAGTTGGGTTACAGTTTGACATAGTAATAAGCTAGCGAGGCTTCTAGTTGTACTCTTCTTCACTCTTCTTCATGCCGGTCCACCACCTATACCTTGCGTCCAGCTTCAGCTTCTTCTGCACATAGGGATCCCACCGCCGCCACTCGTCCTCCTTGATGCCCTCATCCATGGCGGCGAGGTGCTTCGCCAAGACGTCCTTGCCCTCCATGCACTTGCGCAGCGCGGCTGTCGCCTTTGCGCACGAGACGACCTCTCCGGGCGTCCTGTCGGCCATGGATCTCTGCCGTTCCCATTCGCGGTCGCACTGGTCCGTCGCCATCTGGAACTCCTTGATGCTACCGCCTTTTGCCATGTCGTGGATGACGAGCGTCATTTCCGGAAGTGATCAAACAGGCCAAATCACCTGATCAGTGCCTTTTGTAAAAAAATTACTAGAAACACAGTGACGTTTACAAATAATTAGGGACCAGGTAATTTTTTGCAAATCTAACCCCAAATGTGGTAGTTTTTTGGCGGCACGACCACTCGCGCCACAGGGACAAGCACGAGGTCGTTGCGCCGGCGCACGGTGACGCCCATCTCCTCCGCCATGTCCAGCTCCCCGGCCACCGCTCCGGCCGGCAGCTCCCAGTCGAAGTGGTACAACAGCCTGGCGAGTGCGAGCTCTACGTTTGCCAACCCGAACGCCATCCCGGGGCACATCCACCGGCCGGCCCCAAACGGCATGTACTCCATGTCCATGCCTTTGAAGTTGGCGGCATCGCCGCGCTCGAACCTCTCCGGCACGAACTCCTCCGCAGCCTCCGAGTGGGCCGGGTCGTCCCTGCTGATGGCCCATGCGTTAACGAGCACCATTGTCCCCTTGGGCACGTCAAAGCCTAGGACACGCTCTTGCGCTCCTGTGGCAGCAGCAGCGGCGCCAGCGGGTGCAGCCGGAGCACCTCCTTGACCACCAGGCGCAGGTAGTTTAGATCGACGAGCAAGGACTCGATCACCATGGGCTGTCCGACGAGCGCGAGTCGGACCTCGTCCTGCGCCTTCGCATTGTTCTCGGGTTCCTAACAAGCTCAGACATGGCCTACTGCAGCACCGTCGCCGCTGTCTCACTACCTCCGGCGAACATGTCCTGCATGACAAATTGACAAACACACCAACAATTTTTCTCATGGTCTCTGTGACTCTCTGATGGATGGACATGATTTTCTGATGGATCCAGTGAGGTTTGGTGCTTATGCCGACAACCGACTTGATGTTGTCGGTAGACAAGGGGAACAGCAGGTCGCCTTCCCACTGGATTCTCAGGAGCACGTCCAGGAGGTCTTCCTCCTCGTCGTTAGCCCGGCGGATGTCCTGGTGCTCCCGGACAATGGCGTCCATGAACGCGGCCAATTCCTGCCGGTGCTGCCTCATCCGGCCTGGCGTCCGGCTGAGAAGCATGGCCATACGCGACGACGGGTAGAGGTCCGGCAAGCTCATCCCGACGAACAGCTTGGTCTCACGCTGCAACAACGCCAGGAACACGCCCCGATCCTTGAACTTGCTCCCGATGACAGCGCACACTGATGAGTCAGCGGCGTACGCGGACAGCAGCTCGCTGAGGTTCGCGGTTCCCAGTGATGCAGACAGCGCCACCGCACGGAGTAGCTGGTCGGCCTCCTCCTCGCGCACGGGGCGGAAGGAGTGCACCCGCCAGGCACTGAGAAGCTCGACGGTGCAGATCTTTTAGAGCTGGCGCCACTCATCGCCGTACTATATATAGATACAATGAGTGGTCACATCCTTAACTATACATGGAAGGAGGAGGGTTTGTTGTACAAATAATAGACATGCAATATACATCTAAACACCACAGGAAGGCCACCACTCGAGCACACATCTCATTTGCCGTCCCACAATAACCCTCTAGCATCTCCTCACGAGGCCGCTCCTGAACAGGACCTATCCACCGTCATTGGCGCCGTGCGGGCTTTGCCAAGCGCCCTGCCTTGGCGGCAGTGAGAGGGGAATAAAAATGGCTGGTGGGTAGGAATTTTGTTCCCTCACCACGACCCTCGTACGAAGCTTTTTCTCTTGTACTGTCGTTTATGATTACGTTCATTGTTATGCAATTTTGTTTCTGTTTTTATAGTGCTGCTATTTTTTCAAATTACAGTACAACTAAAATTCAAAAATAAAATTACACTACAACTAGCTGTACAACATTTTTATGCTGCTTACGTACACCATTTCTCTAATGTACGTCACAATAAGCCAAGGCACGGACATATAGGCATGGCGGTGTCCGTTTCCATAAATTTGAGCAAACTCCTTGAATCAGCACAACACCAACGTGATATCGCTCAAGCTGAATCTTTTTTTTTTAAACGAAGGTTCGAGTCACACCCGACTTTCTTTGTTTTTTGTTTACCCGCAAATAAAAAAAACAAAGCTATCAACCGGCCTGGATTACATTGCAACATACAAACAAACAAAGAGAAAAATGCAAAGCAGCAAAAGATACATAGTGCAAACAAAAGAAGAGAAGAAACACATCATGAATGAAGCGCCGAGTTTGAGAGGGAAGGCGAAGATACAGGAGGGATACCAACTGCATGCAGAAGAATACTTCATTGCCCGCTTCCAGAAACCAGATTAACCGAAAAAGATTAACCGAAGCTTTTATCAACTAATTTAGCGGCACGGGCACTCGCACCACGGGGACAAGCACGAGGTCGTTGCGGCGGCGCACGGTGACGCCCATCTCCTCCGCCATGTCCAGCTCCCCGGCCTCCGCTCCGCCCGGCAGCTCCCAGTCGAAGTGGTACAGCAGCCCGGCGAGAGCGAGCTCCACGTTTGCCAGCCCGAAGGACATCCCGGGGCACATCCGCCGGCCCGCCCCGAACGGCGTGTACTCCATGTCAGCCCCCTTGAAGTCCGCGGCGTCACCGCGCTCGAACCTCTCTGGCATAAACTCCTCGGCGGCGTCCCAGTGCGTGGGGTCCCTGCAAATGGCCCACGCATTGACGAGCACCATGGTGCCCTTGGGCACGTCGTAGCCAAGGACTTGGCAACCGTCGCTCCGGCACTCCCGCGGCAGCAGCAGCGGCGCCGGCGGGTGCAGGCGGAGCACCTCCTTGACCACTAGGCGCATGTACTTGAGGTCGGCGAGGGAGGACTCGGTCACCGTGGTCTGGCCGGCGAGCGCCAGCTGGGCCTCGTCCTGCACCTTCCGCATCACTCTAGGGCTCCTCACCAGCTCGGACATGGCCCATTGCAGTGTCGTCGCCGCTGTCTCGCTGCCACCGGCGAATATGTCCTGTACGACCGACTTGATCATTTCGGTCGACAAGGGGAACTGCAGGTCGCCTTTCCGCTGGATCCTCAGGAGCACGTCAAGCAGGTCCTCGTCATCGTCGTCGTCTGCCCGGCGGTTCTCCTGGTGCTCCCGGACGACGGTGTCCATGAACTCGTCTAGTTCCTTGCGGTGCTGCCTCACCCGGGGCGGCGTCCGGCTAAGGAGCATGGCGAGGCGTGATGACGGGTAGAGGTCCGGTAAGCTCATCCCGGCGAACAGCTTGCTACCGGTTGACACCAACTCCAGGAAGCCGTCGCGGTCCTTGAATCTGCTCCCGATGATGGTGCGCACGGACGAGTCGGCGGCGTAAGCTGCCAGCAACCCGCTGAGGTTAACCATGGCCCGCGACGCCGCCACCGCCCGGAGCAGCCGGGCGGCCTCCTCCTGGCGCGTGGGGCGGAAGGAGAGCACGCGTCGGGCGCTGAGGAGCTCGACGGTGCAGATCTTGCGGAGCTGGCGCCACTGGGCGCCGTAGGGCGCGAAGAAGATGCCCTCGGCGCCCGGCTGGATGGAGAGGTGGGCCATGCGGCTGAGGTAGCGGGAGGCGAAGTCGACGTCGTGGGAGACCATGAGCCCGCGCGCGGCGTCGGCGGAGGAGGCGACGACAACGGGCAGGCCGCCGAGGCGGAGAAGCAGGAGCGGGCCGTGGCGCTGTGCCAGGTCGCGCAGGGCGCGGTGCGGCAGGTCCCGCGCTAGGTGGAGGAGGTGGCCGAGCAGCGGGAGCGGCCACGGCGACGGGGGCAGGCGGAGTGCGGGCGCACGGAGCCGGCGCTGGCGCCGACGGTGGAGCCAGAGGAGTAGGACGACGGCCAGGAGAGGGAGGAGCGGCAGCGACCCCATGGCCAAAGGAGGAGGATGGGACTCGAAAGGACGCTGCAGCTTCTGGTCGATGGAGGAAAGCCGTGGTTTTGTAGCTTGCATTGCATGGTGTTGAGCTCGCAGTCTCACACGGAAATGCCTACCTACCTTGAGTCATCCCACGTGATGCTCAAGGAACAGGGCGCGCCTCCTACCGTGACCTTTGCGAACGAACCAATGAACGAGCGAATTCTTCTTGTACGAGCACGTGCACGGCCGGGGTCGCCTCTGTTTCTTCTTCTTTTCTTTTCTTTTTTGCAATTCCTATTTCTTCTTCTTCTTCTTCTTCTTTTACCGGCCGCACGTCAATTGCTCGGTTCCGGTCCTCTACATGCAACGCCTAGCTGCCGGCTCGTCTCCTCCTTCCTCTCCGGCCCGCCGGTCAGCACAGCGCCGCCGTACGTTGTTGACTCCGGCCATCCTCGCGTGCGCACGTACGTACCGCCTGGACCGCTCCTCGACTCAATTCCTCGCGTATCCTCTCCACTTGGGTTTCACCAAGTTTAATTTAAAGATTTTTTGTTTATTTGTTATTTTTCGAAGTAAAATTGAAACGCATTGTTACCATTTTTGGAAACTTTTTTGTTTGTTTGTTTGTATAAGATTTCCATTAACCACATATGAATTACTCTATATAATATAATATGCTTGAGAAGAGAATAGCCAAATACCATCAACCTAAGACAAATATGTACAGCGGTGCTATTTTCAAACGGCAGACCTTGTGCTAAATGGAGCACCGCAGCAAAAATGTATACTAAAAATACACAATCTTATCTGTATGTAAATAGTTGATCATGTATTCAAAATATATTAATCAACAGCTAAAAATGTTAATTAATTATTTAAAAAATGTTAGCTAATAGTTCAAAAAATGTTGACCATATATTAAAAAAACCTATTCTGTACTTTAAAAAATATTAAACTTGTATATAAAGATGTCCCTGATGTATATGAACAATATACATTGTGTGTGAAAAAATGTTTATTTCCGTTAAAAAATATTCACCATGTATTTGAAAAATGTTGAACATGTATTCAAAATAGTTTTCAAAACTTGTATTTAAAGAGTATACTTTGTGTGTTTAAGAAAAATGAAGAAACAAATGAAACAAAGAAAACCAAAGAAAGAAAGAAAAAGAAAACAGTGAAAATCAAGAAGGAAACAAAAAGATAAAGAAAAACCAAAAATGAAAGAAAAGATTTAGATGGGACCCAATCCAGGTAGTGGCTTGGATGGGACACCCGGCTTTAGATGTTAGACTTTGGTGCTATGTCTGTTTAGTATTAGGCATGGACATTCGGCACGCCTTCATCAAGGGGATAGGAGTACATCCTCCTTTGATGGTGTTGCCAAGATGATAGCTTCGAATTTATTGATGTAATACATTGTATGGTCTTTGTGAATAATTAATAATATGGTTGCATGCATCGTCCAGATGCAGAGGCCGGGGTACATCCTCCTTTTTCTAAAAAAAATAGTTGTCAGTTGGTCCTAGTAACCTTTTTAAACCAAGTTAACATCATGAACATCGACACTTGATTCAACTGTCAATCTCAGAACAAATTAAGAGGAAAACTTGCGACTACAAAGGAATTGTTTGACATGACTAACCAAATATATATATATCATATGTGACAAAAAGTATACGTTTAAAAACTTCATCCATGGATGAAAGGAAAGATATGATCTGGTGACATATAGCACGTATTTGTTTCCCCAAACAAAAGGATAGCACATATATATTTACTTTACAACCTAAAAGGTCGAGAATGCCCTAAGCATCGAACCGAGCGAGTACTTGGCCAACTAATTCTAGGTAACATTTAATTCAACATGACTAGAGCTCTTGATAGCTGACCATTGGTCTTAATAACCTTTAAACCAAGTTAACTGCATCAATAAAATCTAGCTAGCTGGGTGACAGTTTGACATAATAATAAGGTAGCGAGGCTTCTAGTAGTACTCTTCTTCACAGTTCTTCATGCCGGTCCACCATCTATACCTCGCGGCCCGCTTGGCCTGCATATAGGGATCCCACCCCTGCCACTCGTCCTCCCTGATGCCGTCATCCATGGCGACGAGGTGCTTGGCCAAGACGTCCTTGCCCTCCATGCACTTGCGCAGCGCGGCCGTCGCCTTGGCGCACGAGACGACCTCTCCGGGCTTCGTGTCGGCCATGGATCTCCGCCGTTCCCGTCCACGGCACTGCTCCCTCGCCGTCCCAAACTCCTCCAGGCAACCGCCGATTCTCATGTCGTTGAGGAAGCACACAATTTCGGGGACTTTGGCGAACGCGTTCCTGGCCCTCTTCCACCACCGCCCGTCCATGGAGATATCGTTAGGGCTATGGTTTCGCTCGCTCTCGGTGGAGGCTTTGATAATTTGATTCCATCGATGTTGGGTAGAGATTAATATATGTGGTGGATAACATACCTTACCGTGTCCGAATTAGCTAGAGCTTTGTCGATCGATCGGATTCCGTTTCCGCCTCAAACTCTTCTTCCCGTACTTGTGCGCTTCATTCTCCTAATTAGTCATTGCAAGCTAGCATGCATCACCCATCAGTTTTTTTTTGAAAAAGGAAGAAAACCCCGGCATCTGCATCAATCGATGCATGCAACTATATTATTAATAAAATTGTAACGAAGTCTGAGATCCAAAAATGTAAATTGGCTAAAGATAGCCCGTGCTACCGTCTCCCAATAGTTGCACTTAATAACCAAAGGCTCTATGTAGTCCGGAGTGAGTAATGACCACATACGGATTCAAACTGTGGCTCTATAAAGGAGTTGCATGTAGGAACGCTTGAATTTCAACGGGCCGGGGGGCGGGGGGGTTGCGCCAAACTTTCTCCGCTTAGTTACTAAATCAAGAAACTTTGGCCTTGTCTGAAATCAGCCGCTCCAGCGCGCTCGTCAGATAGCTATCCCCTTTGTAGATAACCTGCAAAAAATTAGTGAAGTTTGTCCCATTAAAAATCAAATCATTTTTAGTATTCCATATCGCCCAAAATTGTGCACATATCCCTATCCGAATATGTTTTGCTATATGTATGTCCACACTATTAAGCCACGTCCCAAATAACGTGTTGATGCTTATTGGGGAATGAACATTAAAAGCTATATATATTGAGCGCCATAATAATTTCGCAGGTCGACACTCGAGAAAGAGGTGTTTAATCGTTTCATTTTGATTGCAATATCAACATTTGAAATTACCAACCGAACTACTTTTCAGCTATTTATTGTTGGTGAGTATGACTCCTTTGTGAACGAACCACATGAAAATTTTAATTTGGAGCCGAACTTTAATCGTCCATATGTGCAATGATCTTGACAATGGTCCGGAATCAATTAGGTCCAGATACATAGATTTCACTGAAAACGATCCATTCGCAACTAACTTGAAGCGAATCGTATCCTCATGGTCCGATAGTTGAATATCCATCAACCAGCGGACCAGATGCAACCAATCGTTCCACGTTTACCCACTAGGGATCTCCTAAGTTGGATTAAGTGGTACCTAATTTAAATTGTGATGACATAGTTTTCCTTACGTTGTACAATATTATATAGGGAAGGATATTGCAGAGCCAAGGGCATCTCCCCTAGCCATGTGTCTTTCCAGAATCTAGTCTTGGTACCATTACCTACTATGAACTTTACCCGTTGGAAGAAGCTTACCTTTATCCTCATTAACCCCTTCCAAAAAGGCGAGTCTGTATGCCTAGCTGTAGCCTGGGCCAAAGTCTTAGTACATAAGTACTTATTCCGCAATATTTGTACCCACATACCCTTGGTCTCAACCGATAACCTGTATAGCCATTTGCTAAGCAAGCATCTATTCTTTACCTCTAAATTCTCGGTCCCTAACCCACCTTGGTCCTTTGGCCTGCAAATAGTATCCCATCAATCCAATCGGCATTTCTTCTTAGCCTCATCACTTTCCCAGAAGAAGCAGGATCGATAGAAGTCTAATATTTTCCGTACCCCTATCGGCACTTCAAAGAAAGATAAAAGGAACATCGACAAGCTCGTCAACAAACCAAATTTATCATAACCAGCCAACCTCCGTAAGACATTAACTTGCCCTTCCAGCAGCTTAGTTTTTTTTTCAAATCTATCTTCTATACATTTTCATTCCTTGTTTGTTAAACGCCTATTCTGGATTGGGATTCGTAGATAACTAAACAGTAAGGATCCCATTTCACATCCGAACAATTGTCTGTACTAATTTTTTCCTCTTTCGCTCTTCCGAAACAGAACAATTCGCTTTTGTTAAAGTTTATCTTTAGTCCAGACAACTACTCAAATAGGCATAACACAAGCTTCATATTCTTGGCTTTCGCGAGGTCATGCTCCATGAAAATAATAGTGTCATCAGCGTATTGTAGAAATACCTTGCTTTTACCAGTGTCAGCAAATGTGATGTGACTTTTGTCAGACAGGCGTAGAGTTGAATCCATCAGAAGACTTCGATCACCAGTCATATGGCTGGTGCAACCACTATCCATAATCCATTCTGAAGCCTTTGGTGTCATACCCTACAGTACAGTTTTGGGGGATAGGCTTCACCAAGAGACTTGTGAAGCAGAAACATTTGACGAACTAACGGAACATGAAAGTTCAGATCTTGGTTAGGATAAATAGGATGATTATCAAGGAATCCTGGGGCGAAATACATAGTAAGACCATGGACATTTTATCTTGTGTCCCACAAGATGTTTAAGGTCCCCAGCATAAGCACCGGATGCCTTTGATTTCTGGCTGGAGACCTTACCCTGCAGAGAGTTAAGTTTGCTTAACCACCCACATCTTCAGGGGTGGCTTAGAAGCAATGAGTCTAAGTGCGACATCTGAGAACTTTGGCTTTGGAGCCCTAGAAAATAGCCTTGCAGGAAGTGAATAATAATCATAAAAATAAGCAGAAAAGTTCTTGGACTTATGAACATAGCGGTTTGATGAAACACGCTCATATT